GCAACATTGCCAACCTCGTCAACAACATCGACCTCAACGTCATGTCCGTCGTCAACTACGCGGTCCGCCACCTCAAAGTTAAGCACATTGTCGTGTGCGGCCACTACGGCTGCGGTGGTGTCAAGGCCGCCATGACACCAAAGGACATGGGTCTGCTGAACCCCTGGCTCCGAAACATCCGCGATGTCTACAGACTGCACCAGAAGGAGCTCGACGATGTTATGGCCAACGGCGGCACAGAGGAGGAGAAGTACGACAAGCTCGTTGAGCTGAACGTATACGAGCAGTGCCGGAACGTGGTCAAGACAGCGGCCGTGCAGCAGTGCTGGGCTGAGAACGAGTTCCCTGTCGTGCACGGCTGGGTCTTTGGATTCGGAGACGGGTTGTTGAAGGATCTCAAGTTCGACCATGAGGGCGAGCTGAAGGAGATTCAGAAGATTTACGATTTGACAAAGGATATGTAGATGGCGTCAGTGGGTGTGCGATGTATGAGTAGTTGTCGTGGCATTTAGCGAGGTGTTGGTGTCGAGGAAGTGGAAGAGATGGTGCTGCAACCGGGCTTAGATGCTAACGTAGAGCTAGTTACCTGAATCTCCCCAGTACCTTTGTAGGTACCACATGGGTTCACACACTAGTCTTGCAGGCTCACGCCAATCCCTCCACGTCTCGTCGCCGCAATCAAATTCCAGCGTATTGCGTAAACGAGAACAAGTAAACGAGTACGACTTGGACTGTTTCGCTTACGATACCATTCATGCATGCTCTCCAAAGAGAACGATATAACCCGTTCCAGGCCCACCTCCACCGTTCTCTCGAACACGATCACTAATCTCTGCCATCAATCCAACCTGTTGGTAACACCAATCCAGAATCTCGGTCCACCGGCTATCACAGCCCTCGAGCTGGCAGGCCAACTCCTCCACAATCCTCCTCCCAGAATATTGCATCCACCACATATCCTCCAAAATACAATTAATCGCACCCCAACAGGCTAATATAACCAGAGCCGGCACCTGCCCCATATCCGCCTTCTGAAAGAACTCAGGCTCCACGGTACCCAACCAAGGAACTACCGAATGCCCATCACTATCCATATACGCCTTCTCCAGTTTCTCCAAGGTACCACGAAAGAACGGCGTCGCCGCATCATCAAGATCCATATTCGCAAGTATAGCATCCGTCAACGCGCGTAGCTTCTCCGCCGTGAACGCCCTGCCCTCTTCTCCAACCAACTCAACAACAGGACTACCAAGTATCTGCTTCAACTCCCCACTATTAGCCCACACACTATGCTCCTCCACAATCTCCTTCATACCCATCGTATACCTCCTCACCCGCATTAGTACCTTCGACACAGATTCCAACGTCTCACCCGGCGTGGCCGGAATCAGACTAGCGATAAGCGCAACAACAGCATGAAGAGCAGTCATAAGACAAACTGGATCGAGACTCTCTTTTGAGATGCAGGCAAGCGACACCTGCTCATTAAGCTCAGATATACTTCTGTTCTGGTAGTGCAGTGCGGCGGCGACGTGGTCGTGGGATGCGGTGGGGGAGGAGGCGAGACTGGCGCTATGTAGGGAGGTGAAGGCGAGGAGTATGTCGAGCAGGTAGGTGTGTTGGAGTGCTTTGGTTACGGCGTAGTCGCGGAAGACGAGCGCGTTGCGGTGCACGGAGGTGAGGTAGGTGGTTGTGGTCCATTGGTGCATGAGCCGCATTTCGAGAGTTCGGGTCGCGTTGTAGGTGGCTAGGCGGGAGGATGGGCCGCTGTAGGCATCGTAGAGGGAGTACCAGCCCGGTTTGGTTGGTATGGGTGATCGTGGTGGTGATGATGATGAGGATGATGATGCCGTTGTCAACGCCGTCTTCGCTTTCCTTCTAGACCCAGTTGAAACGTTCTGTGTTGGGTAGGTGCATTGTTCTTCTCGTAAAGAACAAGCTCCGCATTTGGGTGTGGCTTCGTCGCATTTGACGCGCCGTCGCTTGCACGTGTCGCATCCAGCCCGTGACTTCCTATGGTATCGTTTCACTGCCATTCGGGCTCAATCGCGGCACTCGCATATTCGTTCCGCTTTAGATGTGGTAGGTTTTCATGCGCCTGGGGACTTTCGCGAGGAGACGGCATGGCTCAGGTGTGCTGCGGGGGCGAGACTTGTTGGTGCCTGGCCTGGTGCCAAAAGGAAGCCTAATTTGGTAGGTTGACGCTAAAGATGCCGATCAAAAGAGGTACTCGTTCTCGTTTACCGGTCCTGCACCGGAAGCTTAACATCCGCCTTGCCGAAGTAGTTATGCTCCAGAAGGACAAGGCAGGATTACTAGCGATCACCTGGGCATATCGCGCAGTGCTCCTAATGCACGCAAAAGCAAGCGTTATTCGTTTGATCGTTTGCCCTGATGAACCACCATCTCGCGAGGTCGGCTATGCCGCCATTGCCATCATAGTGGAATTGGCAGGGCGTTGACGAACCGCCTCCCATCGCAGCTAAAGAAACATGTCGTATATAAGTAATGTTGTCGCAGGCACCATTCTGCTGTACACCTTAGAGCAAGTCACCACCTGTTTCAACATCAAACCCCTATCTCGCACGAACCGTGTCTGTTCTTGAACAAGATGTATTCGGCTTTAGGTACGTTGAGTCCAATTCGTTCGATATGATATCTGTTCCTGACAGCCCGAACAGCGCACGGATTGGCTTGTTCAAGCCTTGCACAACCCTACCTCGATGGCACGACAATCACGAAGTTCACTGCAGAGCCCAAGACACAATGGACACCAGAAGGCTCGCCTATCCCAGCCGAACAACTCGTGCCGCTTCTTGGAGTCTCATCGTACAACATCTCCTACTGCCGTGTAGAGATGGCCTACACCCATCCAGGTCAGAACGACACAGTCAACCTCCAGATATGGCTGCCGGAGCAGTGGAATGGACGCTTCAATGGTGTGGGAGGCGGCGGCTGGCGCGCTGGTGTTTTCGATCAGAGCCTACTCCCGGCCATCATTCAGGGATATGCGGCAGCTTCCACTGACGGTGGCCACAATGCAACTGAAGTCTCCGCTCTTCCTTGGGCGCTCAAGTCTCCGGGTAATGTCGATGTGGTTGCTTTGCAGAACTTTGGTTCTGTGACTTTGAACGAGCTCTCTATATTCGGGAAGATGGTTACAGAAAGCTTCTATCAGAAGGCTCCCGCTTACTCTTAGTACGTATGACCCTGACATTGCGATGTTATTCGCGGTCAACGCTTCATCGTGTGTCTAGGATGAACAATGGCTAACAAAAGACACAGCTGGACAGGGTGTTCCCAGGGTGGTAGACAAGGCATGATGCTGGCCCAACGTTACCCCGAAGCGTTTGACGGTATTATAGCTGCAGCACCCGCACTGAACATCATCCCGCTCTTGGCAAGCTTGTTCCATGCTCAAGCTGTAATGAACACGCTCGGCGAATACCCGCCCAACTGCGAGTTCGAAGCGATTGGGGCCGCCGCAATCGCCGCTTGCGATGAACTGGACGGCGTCAAAGACTCGATCATATCCATCCCAGAGTTGTGTACTTTCGACCCATTCACCGTGGTCGGTCAGCCCGCCAACTGCGGCAATAGCAGCTCGAATGTCATCTCCAACGCAACAGCAACTGTAGCCAACGCTACGTGGTATGGTGTCTCCGACAGACGGGGAAAGAAGATCTACCCAGGATACGCGTTCGATGCACCCCTCCAGGCAACGACCGACACGGATTGTCAAGCCTCAGGTACCTGCCTCACCACCGCTGCCTGGCTACTCGGCGCACAGTGGTTCCAGCTTTTTGTCGAGAGAAACGCTACCTTTGACTGGTCTGTAATCACCGCGGAGCGTCTACCGGACTACTTGTACGCCGGCCAGCAGCAGTGGGATTCGATCATCAACACCAACGACGCGGATCTCTCAGACTTCAAGGAGGCAGGAGGGAAGTTGCTCACCTGGCACGGCATCGCAGATGACCTGATTCCTTCGGGTGGGTCAACACAGTACTATGACCGTGTAGCCGCGTTGGATGCCGATGTGGATGAGTACTACAGGTTGTTCCTTGCGCCTGGTCTTCATCATTGCGCAGGTGGCCCTGGTCCTGCACCCGTCAATAACGCGCTGCAGCAACTTGTCGCTTGGGTCGAAAATGGTACTGCTCCAGACACCCTACCGGCAGTTGGAACTCAACCTGTCAACGGGACAGTGTTGTCGAGGGATCTTTGCCCTTACCCGCTTGTATCTGTTTACCAGGGTGGTGCTGCGGCTGATGCATCATCTTATAGCTGTGTTGATGCGGAGAGTGTGTAAGGAACCCGCAGATGTTTGTACGTAATAGCGTATCGCGAGGTGGATGATTAGGGGACCAGGTATGATCATCGTCAGGCAGAGATGCCTGGGTAGCTTGTTGGTGCATTTTAGGACGCTTTGTACTTCTAAATTTCGAGCAGATGTACATGAATACAGACTCTTGCAAGAACTCTTGTTGCGGACAACGTACATTCTCTATTTTGTCAATAGCGTTCTCTAATACAGACCCGATGCGGTTCAAGGTCTAGCTAGTCGTTCGGAGTTGAGTGCTGATGATCGCGCGAGGCTGTAGGGACACCGTTTGTGGTTAATATGGATGGGGATCAGTTGGCGGAGGCTGGGACGCTACCCAAAACGGAGCTATGTCGCGAGGCATAGCCATACACTCTATCGCTCTGTCAGTACACGCGACTGTGTAAGCACACCGTTCCCAGGCTAATGCGAGCTGGAATCCTTCGCCCCAAGGATGGTGTTGTTGCGACGAGAGACGGAAGGAGCAGGCCAACGCCCCTGCCGCGGACTCAGTGGCGAGATGACCGAAATGACCGAGCACCGAGCCGCTCCACAGAACACCGACGGGTGCCTGTTCGTCTACCAGCAACCATGTTAGAATCTTTGAATGCTGTATACGACTCTTACTACGCAGTCAAGATAACTGCGACAAATTCTCTTGTATTTATGAGCCAAAATGGTTGAGCAACCTACCATCCAATCCGCAGACACAGATGGCAACGGACCAGCGAAACGTCGACGAAGACCAGCATTATCATGCGTCGAATGTCGCATGCGCAAGGTGAGATGCGACCGAGGAAAACCTTGTGGTGCATGCACTAGGATCAAATCAGCGACATGCACGTTTAGACCTCCACGTCCGGGGATTCGGCCGGAGAATCAAAGATCACCTGAGGACGATGCCTCCACAGGTCACAGCAACGGCCACGACCGAAATCCGGCTCGCTCTTCTCCTGAGGCGCCCGAGCTTCCCAGTCAGTTTGATGCAATCGTCAATCGTTATGTGGCACCCGGGCTTCTTGGAGAATGCGACGGCCAGCCAAAGCCTCTGCCCTCCAATAGACCGGCTTTTAGCTTGAACTCGCACTCGGACTCTGCGCAAGCTTCTATCATCAACAGCTTGTTGGATAGGATTCAGGGTCTGGAAGAACGACTGGCGAGGGCTACTCTGAACGATGACCCAAGGACTAGTACGTCGCCGGGACGGGAAAGTGCAAGTGACACAAGCGCCCAGTTTGTAAAGGCAAAGTACTATGGTCAGAGTCATTGGATGAACGCTATCGACCCTGTAAGTGATTGTAGCGAAGGTTTCCTTGTCGGGGTTTGTCTGTTCGAAACGAATTTAACTGACGGGTAACAGTATGACGCTCTCGGTGATACAAACACTACAACGAACCACAATACAAACAGGAAAGAGGTGTATGTCATTATTCCAGTCTTTCTCTAGAGACAGTAAATTTAATGGTAGTCTATAGGAACAAATCGACTGAGCTGTATGCTACTGTCTCAGAAGTCAAGCGAATGGCTCGCATCATCAAGGCCTCTCGCATGTCGCAGCCTTCCATTTCACCAGAACTACAGGCATGCATTCCTCCGAAGGAAATCAGCGACGCATTGGTGGATTGTTATCTCCGTACATTCGAAGGTGTCTTTCGCGTACTACACGTACCTTCCTTTAGAAGAGTCTACGATGCATACTGGCTCGGCACCACGCCTGCAAAGCCGTCCATTATTCACAAGTTTCTACTGGTATGCGCAATTGCCGTGCCGTTCTACACCGGACCGGACCAAGCCAAGCTTCGCGTGTCAGCTGCGAAATGGATCCAAGCCGCAGCGGAATGGCAGTGTGCTCCTCATGCAAAGTCGCGGCTCAACATGATAGGACTGCAGATACAGATATTGATTCTGATTGCACGTCAAGTATGTGGCATCGATGGTGACCATATATGGATACCTGCAGGTACGATGTTGCGGACGGCGATGCATCTCGGCTTACATCGCGACCCGTCTCACTTTCCCAAAATCAGTGTCTATCATGGCGAGATGCGACGCAGACTTTGGGCGACTGTTCTGGAGATCACTGCACAAAGCAGCTTAGACATGGGCATGCCGCCTATGATCTCGGTGAACGACTACGACACGAAGCCACCCTCCAACATCAACGACGAAGATATGGGAAACGGCATAGACACACCACTCGATGTGAGGCCAGCAACTGTATTCACGGACAGCAGCATACAGATTGCTTTTACACAGACCCTTCCCACACGCCTCGAGATCATTAGGGTAATCAACAACCTGCGCTTCGATCTATCATACGACGACGTATTGCGTATCGGCACCAAGCTCATCAGCGTCTGTCGCGAGAAAATGATCTTCTTCAAATCAGCATTAGCAGCAGGACAAAACATCACGCCGTTCCAGATCAAGATGTCCGATACCCTAGTCCGACGCTTCGTCCTCTGCCTCCACCGCCCCTACTTCTCCAAAGCAAGCGAGAACCCACGCTATCATTACTCCCGGAAGATATGTCTCGACACATCACTAGCGATTTACGCGCCAGCAACTGAACTGGGACCAGGAGAAGAGGACGACTGGACGCGCATGACGCATCGATGCGTGGGGTTCTTTAAGTCGTTCTTCCTCTACGCTATGTCAACCGTGTACTACGAGCTCAACTCTCAGATCAACGAAAGGAAAGAAGAATTGGCGCTATTCGCTCCTCTTGTATGCACACGCCCAGCCGCAACGTCCCCCTCTACAGGGTTGACATCCTTACCACCACAGTACCACGCCCTGCGTCAAGTCCTGGAATCATCCCGACACACAGCAGTCGCCCGCGTCCAAAACGGCGAGACAAACGCAAAAGGTGTCGTCTTTATCAACTGCGCACTAGCACGCATCGACTCTTTAATAGCCGGCACCGACCCCGAAGCAGCTGTACTTGAAGCAGCAAAATCATCTACCAAAGAAATGAGTCAGATACTAGCATCAGTATACCGCGAAGAGCACGGCAAAGACATCGACCTCAGTCCCTCCAGCAGCAGCTTCGCAGGGAGAGAGCATGGTCGAGGCGAGGGCGCTGATGATGTTACTGGGAAGCATCTACCTACTGGCACCGGCGCCCAGAGCGGCTGCAGTAACATTACAGATTTCCCTTATTTCGACGGCACGATGGACGGACTGAGTATGCTAGATAGCGATCTGGGAGATGTGAACATGGGGTTGGATATCGATATCAATGCGTACATGCAGGGGCTACCCATGGATTCAGTGGATGGTTTTTACTTTGGAAGGAGTCCGGAGTGGTTCTATGATCTTGATGGGTGGGCTGCTGGTAGTAGTTTCGGCAACCCTGGATTCGGTGTTTAGGCGCATGTTGGCTGCACGTCTGTTGTACCTGCATTGTCTTTTTCATGCGCACACAAATGTAGGTGCCAGATAACATCTGTCGACAACGAATCCTAAACAATCACAAAAGTGGATCTAATTCCAAGACTTCGTAGACCAGAGAATATCCACGCCCGCCGCACACGTGGGCGCTAAAAACGGCACGCCTTGCCTTAGCGGGGTTGGTGCCAATGCCTTGGAAAGCTGCATCCTTCGCTGCAACATCCCAAACATCAATCATACCATCTCTTTAAGCATTTTCGACACCGCTGAATACGTTCGTACCCGCCAAAATGTCACCCATATCGCGCATGGCGCGCCTCCTCCTCATCCTCCACTCCATCGTCAACATAGCCCTCGGCATCTACCCCTTCATCAACCCAGAAGAGTACTCTGCAATCACCGGTATGGAGGGTCCAGAGAAAACGCTACAATCGATCGGTAAGTCGAGGATTAGTTTCAATGTATATCCAACCCTGGACTAACGAGAGGAAAAAGGCCTCGGCGCAGTAGCAGTAGGTTGGTACCAACTCATCTTTACCTTCCAGGGTAACCGCCGCATGATGGCTTCGACGATCCCGCTGAGATTGGGGTTTGCGGCTGTGATGTATGGGTGGGAGAAGCAGCCTGTTATGATATACGAGTTGATTGTTGTGTGGTTTTGTTTACTTGGGGTGTTTGCTTAGATATGGAAAAGGTGGAGGGAAAGAGAAGGGTGGAGGCCGGGAAGACGAAGGGATGGGAAGAACTGCGGGAGTCATTTGAATGACGAAGTAGCATGATTAGGGACTACAATATATATACGATAATTGATTTGTAGCATCGGATCGCAAACAAGCGACTCGATCAACTACGCACACAACCCTCCTTCTCAGTTCCTCAACCCATGCATATCTCAACTCCATTTCACACTCCCCCCAGCCTTCCCCTCCAACCCCCACCCCCCATACGTATCCACAAAGCCCTCTCTGGTAAGATACTCCTTATGCTCCTCGCTCCTCCACGCCAGCGCAGTCCCCAACTTCCAACTCGTATCCATTTTATCCAGCACCAGCTCCACAAGCTGGACGTTCTGCGGGTTTTGCAGCTGCGGTTTCTCTAGGATAGCGGAGAGTTCTGATAGGGTGGTTGCACGGTGGAAGGAAGATGAAGGGTCTGGGTGGCGGTAGAGGGGCAGGAGGTGTGAGTAGTTGTGCGGGACGATGTCGTTGTACGCTGTAGGCGATGGTGGTTAGTTGGATGTTGCTCGCGTGTAAAGAAAGAAGGGAGGAAGGAGAAGAGAACTTACGTTGCCTCGCCCCCCAAATCAACCTCTCAACCGTATACCCCTCATTATTAATCACAAAAACAATCGCCTTACACTTCGCCTTGATCATAGTCCCAATCTCCTGAATCGTCAAAGCCATACTTCCATCCCCCGTCATCAGAATAGTCCGTCCCTCTCCCTTCTTGTCGAGCTCCCTCCGCGCAATATCCACACCTAGCGTAGCAGCAGTAGCAAATCCGATACTGCCATAGTAGATCTGCGTAACGAGCCTGATGTCAGACGGGAAATCAATGTCACACAGACCGAAATTCGAGGTTCCGGTTTCGCTGACGAGAGCGTCGCCTGGGCGGATGAAGGACTGGATGGCGGGCCAGAGTTGGGATTGCGTTAGGTGGACTGATTTGGCGTCGAGGGGTGTGCGGGGTGCTGGGAGTTGTGGTTTGGGGATCTTGTGTTGGGGGGTTGATGGTAAGGCGGTGGTTAGAGCTTCGAGGAGGGCTTTGATGGGTGTGTTGGGGTAGGATTTGCCTTTGACCTAGGAAGTATGTCAGTAATAGACGTCAGATGAGGTATGCGAGGGACTTACAACAACGTCGTGTGGGTTGATGTGGATGGTGTTAGTCTCGTCCAACGGTCTTGAGAAGCCAGCCGAGTTCGTGTCAGCAGGTATGTACCCCAGAGTCACTACCAAGTCTGCCTGTTTCGCTGCTTCTTTGACGCCCGGAGAACTGACTTCGCCGTTCCACACCCCAACGAAGTTCTCTTCTGTCTCATCGACAATGCCCTTGCCCATGGTTGCTGAGAAGAAAGGAACGTTTAGCTTGCGGACTACCTGCGCAGCTTCCTGGACAGCGTTGAAGCGATGGACGAGAGCGTCTACCAGTACCGTTGGCTGTTTAGCTTCAGCGACGGCAGCCACGATAGCTTTGACCGCTTCGTCCTGCGCCTTCTCATCCACATGCGGCGCAAGATCAATGGGAGTTTCCAATAACCCAGCATCTACCATCTCGGCACTCAGATCCAGCGGCAAGAAGATGTAGACAGGCCCACTCTTGATAACGCACTCCCGTAGCACCCTATCAATCTCCTTCGGTGCATCTGCAACATCCCAGAGTTCTGCAGCCGCGAACCTCAGCCCCTCGCTAGCCTTGTTGTACATTTGGTGATTTGGCTTGTTTCCAATACTGTGGTGGATCATCATGTTGTTCTTCTGCATGGCCCGCGTAGTTTGCCCAACAACATGGACAACTTTAACGTGTTCACTCATGCTACCTGCGATGCCGTTCAAAGCCGAAAGTTCACCCACACCATGCGTGGTCACGAGACATCCGGGCGTGTTCTTGATGCGGGCGTATCCATCGGCGGCGTAGGCAGCGTTCAGTTCGTTTTGGTTGGTGACAAAGGTCAATCCTGGGGTAAGGTAGATGGAGTCCAGGAATTGCAGGTTGAAGTCGCCGGGTACACCGAAGATTGTGTCGACACCAATTTGGTGAATACGCTCCCACATGTAGCGGCCGAGGGTTATCTTGCTGTTATCTGCCATGATGGGCTGTCCTCTAGCTCTTCCTCCTTTCGAGTATTGTAGGTATCAAGTGATTAGTTAATACCTCTGAATCCCACGGCTGTTAGTTGTGTTGTTCGTATGTGTTGTAACCCTTGCGCAGATATAGTCGCGACAAGCTTACCGTGCGCTGTGCCGAGGATTTCGAACGAGGCAGATACGTAAGCAAGTCTTAGAAGAAGAGCAGGAACAACACGGAACACGGACGCTAAACACCATAACATTCACATGATGTTAGCCTCTGTCTAGGGCGCGCGTAAGGCGTTGTATGACAGCCGCGGTTCGGTTGGAGACGGTTAGCGGAGTAGTACAGTGCGGGGAGATCGGCTCAACATCGGAATGATATCGGAAACAAATAGCTGCGATTAGAACATGACAACTAGAGCTTCAAACGAAAAACACCTCGTAAACGATGCTGAAGTTCCTTGATAGCTTGAACCTCTACCGATCACGCGCTTTCTTCTGTCGTACCCGCAACGGAGTGCTTCTTTGCATCCTCGAAGCTCGCCATCTTGAAATCGTACGGCAGCTCAAAGTCTGCCTTCGGATCTCCCTCAAAAGGATTGAAATCTACAAGAAGGGAATCCTTGACCGCAAAAACGGCGTCGTCATCGATGTACTTGCTCGTTCGGTCGAAGATCTGAGTAACAATAGGTTTGTAGCCCGGCGCTGTGAGCTAAGATAAGTTAGCACATCAGGCTGCACCTTCGTCATAGGCTTCACATACCAGGAAGTGTATATGCGCCGGCCGCATCGGATGCCTATCCAGCGCTTGCAACACTTTGCCTGCTGGCCCATCGAAAGGTATGGGGTAAGGTACTGGCCTCAAGCAGTAGAAGCTATACTTGCCGTCCTTGCCCGTCGTGAATCTACCTCTGAGATTCATCTCTGGCTGGTCTGGATCTTGTTGTTCGTATAGGCCATTCGGCGCCGTATGCCATACGTCCACCACCGCACCCTCGATAGGCTGCCCGGTTCTAAAGTCCGTGACGATGCCGTGCATCAATGTCCGGTCGCCTTGCTCATTTATCTCCTTGGACACGATGCAGGAGCCCATGGGCAGTTTCGGAGCATCATGGCGGTAGAAGGGGCCTAGGATGGCAGTCGCGGTGGGTTCGTCGGCGGCAGTAGAGGCGAGCTTGTACGTGATCTCGTCGACGAGCGATTCGAGGCCGAGAATGTCGCAGAGCAGTTGGCCTTCGTTGCGTTTGGCGTCTGACATGCGACCTGCTGCATTCATCTGCCCATCGTTTAGTATGCTGAGTTATATCTCACAATATCAAACATGGAAAGCTCTCTGACGTACCAACTCAACTCCTGTCATCCACTCATCGACCGTGAGTTCGTTCTCCCTCGCAAAGTCATGGAGATGCCGTATTAATCCCGCTGTGAGCTGTCTGACCCTGGGTGTAGCTTTTGGTCCCGTCGCATTGATTACCGCCTGAGTGAAATTCGGATTGAACTTGTGATCCTGGCTATCCGATACCGCGGAAGGGTGGTGAGCTTGTGAAGCTTGTGTTTCTTCCGGCATGACGTCTTTCCCCACGAGATCCTGAAGATGCAGTAAAGTATATCAAATGACAGAGCTATATTCCCTCTATGCAATTGCGATTAGACCTAAAGTACTGCGCAGTAAGTATGATTCGGATGTTAGCAAACAGCGAACGGTTAGCAATGCGATCGAGATCCGACAGTCGGCAGCATGTCGGCCAGTCAAGCACACCAGCGCAAGGCGCATAACTTCAGGGTTCGCCGTTGGCTTGTACTTTCGTACGACATAGCACGGCGGGGCTGTGGAGCGAAGGTGTGTATGGCGTCGATGGTAGACACAGACGGAAGCTGTTGTCGGTGCGGCTTTCCGACGAAGGTGCGCCTTCCGAGACTGGGATCCTTGGGACTTGGCCAATGGAAGAGGGACGGGTAGTAAGCATATATGACGACTGTCTGTCGGTGTGGTAACACAATCGCGCAGGCTATTGTGACCATGGACGCCTAATTTTCATGTGATGAGTTTTGTATTAAGAAGATTGAGCCAGATCAATGATGACGGTTTTGATCGCAGTAAAATGCTACAATATTGCACTAGCAACTCGAGCTATGCAAAAGACCCAAACGCCAACAAATATGTCCTGATAATGCTAAATTACGTTCAAT